CTAAGTATTAAGAACGTAAGGAATCAAATATGAGAAATTTGACTCAATATGTCAATAGGATATTCTTGAAAACTTACAGACATCGTATTTCCACTAGACTTTATTCATAAATACAATCAAGAATTCAATATTAAAAATGCATATAGAAGCTCGAAAAGCTATTACTAACAGCAAAATTATCATATATTTCTATTCCAAGTCAAGTATCATTATACTAAAGTAACAGATTTTTTTCGATTTGGAAATTATTTCAATCTAAAAATCTGGTATAAATTAGAGAGAATACTATAAATTGTAAAGCTCATACATATGTCATATGAAATTTACCAGGAATAAGCTCATTGTTTAGCATACATAGGACCTTTTTCAGTGCTATGACAAATCCAAGAAATTCGAGATGCACAATATGAGAAAAAATGCGATGATAGAAATGAAAGAAATGTGAATGAATGTATTGAAAGAAGACTAGAGAAGTTTCGGTGGAGATGCATCCATAAGTTGCCTAATTCGAGTTCGAATATAAATGAAACTTCAACTGCATAAGATAACTTCGAAAACAGATCAAAGAAGAACCAAGCCGGTACTTGCTTATAGCAACAGGAAAAAAATTATTTCGATTAAAAATCATAATCTAAATAGTGCTTTCCTATAACTGCGGCAGAAAAGCATAATACAATTTTATCTCAATTATTATTTATAATTTAGATAACTTTTTTTTCTATTTTTACCTACTGTGGTCCTTATGTACTTTCGAAAATTTTATTTATATTCGAATTCGAATTAGGTATCTACTCGTTTACTTTTAGTTTCGACTCAATCAAGACGATTCGCATCTGACGATAAATGCAATAGTACTTTTCAAGACGGCGCATTATCAGACTTATAAACTATGGAAATTTGATTCTCATACTATTGAAATATCATTCATATACTACAATAATTATAATTAAACGTATGTAATTTCATTCGTTAGAAGTGATTTATTTTGTAAAAATATCGCAGTAAACACTTGAAAAGTATTATTCGATAGTTTTAAATTATTTTTCCCATTAATTTAAAACTCCAAACTGACTTAAATTTCTTTTTGTTGAACTAAGATCATTATTTACCTGTTTATTTCAATACGGACTTTTTCACCGATTACTCAGCCTATGTGTCGATAATCTTTTTTTACTCTTAACCGGTTTGTATTGTTACTAATCTTTTTTTATATATCACATACGCATGATGTATAAATACTTCGTAAAAAAATGATGATACTACAATATTGACAGTTTTTATTTTGCTATTATTCATTATTTCCCATCTTTGCTGTCATATTTGGGCTATAAATACACTTTATTATAGAGAAAGTTATGAGGTAAAAATAAATAGTAAGAATCCTTTAAATATATAAAATAATAAAAGGTAGAGTGACGTCAGTTATTTCTTTTTCTTTGTACGTTGATCACGTATTGACTAAATTTCTCAGGTAGTTGCTCTTTCTCTCACTTTATTATTTATAATGTATTATTGCTCGAAAAACAAGTTAAACAAATTGAAGTGTTTGCTTTTTGTAATCTACATATAACGTTAATTCGATCAATAAAAAATAAGAAAAATGTAAAGCTCTATATTCTTCGATAATTTGCCTTTAAGTCAAATTATATGATGTAAATCTCCATTCGACAATAGAAGATCCCTATACTCGAGATTTCCTTGAAGGAACGATGCGCTGTACGTATTAGAAGACTGTCTTTTGACATATTTGAGGCGATGAGACCCATCAGTGGTTTCACTATATTTTACCAAGAAACTTAATAGAAAAAGGCTTTCTTTTCCTTTTTTGTCTTAGGCAGGAGGTTTCACATGATGTGCCATTTGTTTTGCCTTCAGTATTTTTTCAATCATTTATTGTATTGTGTGACGCCAGTTGTTAAAACAATCAAGCGAAAAAAACATTGTCACAATCAGAACAAAAACTTTTAATTTTCTTTGCTGCCGCATGACCCGCCCTAAAAATATTTCAGTTTTGGCTACAATCTAACCTTATTATTGATTTTTCTGAGTGACTATTATTTGAGCAAATACGACTGAAATAGCTATATCTGCATATTGTCTTTGATAAATAGTATCCAAGAAAAAAGAGGAAGAATAATTTTGCTGTTTTATGTCATAGAAAAGGCGCGACAATTGCCTTTTGTCTCTGCCAGCCTTCACTTGACATTTTGCAACTTGTTAAGACATATTAGAATCAGCTGTTGTCCTCTATTACTTGTCTACGTTCTTCTATATGTTGTGATTGTCCTCTTCTCGGCACGTCATATGTGTTCTTTCATTCTGTTATACTGTTATCGAGATTTTTCCATTCTATTCAATGATAGATTTTCTTTCTCTCTATTCTTTCATAAGTATTTTTCTCTGATGCGCTCAGATATTACCATATCTAACATATTGTTCAAAAACCTATAATTATATAGTTGCTGATTTTTACAATCAACCATATGTGTGAATCTGCTACATTTATCTATGAATATTAGAAGGTTGATTCAGAAACCATCCAATATAACATACTTTTCTCTTCGTTGCTTCATTTGAACATCTGATTACATCCTATCAAGAGGCAAGAAAAGAGCAGTATAAAATCTCCAAATAAACATGCTGGTACACTCGAAAGCATTTGGTCGAAAAAACGGAGAATAAATGAAGTGTCAAATTCAACTGCAACAAATTTGAACATGCATACCGACGTTACGAGCGAGCTCACGCAGTTACCAGCTGCGATATTTCACCATGTGATCTTACTGTTGCTGCTGATCATCTATCGGTTCGACCGGTTCTCTCTTCTTATCCTATTAATCACGAGAGTAGCTCCTTCCAGCCACAATGGTACTTCAACCGGTTCTGACTCGAACACTCCATAACGAATGACGCTGTCTATTTTTATCATTACCGTCGTTTTGACGAATCATCTCAAACAAAACGTTTGCAGAGCGATGATTCCACTAAAGATAAAACATCAGTGGATGGAGACGAGCACTGGAGAAATGATCGTGGTTTTGATGGATGTGGGTGTGACGAGCACATAGGCACCCTCACCCATTCACACACACCCACTCACCGCCGATGAATTGGTATAGCATAACTTCACAATGTACTTTGTGCTCTGTTTTTCTGTCTTTGTTTTATACTCACACATACATTTTGGTGTGCATGTGTTCACTATATAGAGGTTATCTTTGCTCAAGGGACCAAGAAATTGTGTTCATGTTCAGAGTTGGGAGGTGTTCACTATATAGAGGTCTATTTGCAGCAAATATCGCTCGGGGTAGGGGCGAGATATGCGTTCAAATATGAGGTGTTCACTAACAGAGGTTTTACTGTAGTTCATCATACTTCAATAGTTTTAATAATTTTGTAAAGCATATATTACTTTATCATATATACTCTACTCCGAGTTTTTAGTCAATGATCTGATTGTCCCTCATAGATGGAGATTATCTCAATTCAAAGAAGCAAGTCTCAAATCTAAAAAGAAGTTATGAGTGTTTTCAACCCAGAAATCAAGTTCTATACAGGTATCATTCTTGATAAGTTGCTCTATAACGATCGTGGTGTAGTTCACAGCTACTCTATGAAAATCGCACCCTAGTTCTATTGTCAATAGTGTATTGGAGATAAATGCGATATTTTACATCAAAAAGAAGAAAGCAAAGCAGATGATTTTTATATTTAACCTAAAATAGTCCATAAAATATCAAATATAAACTTTTTAATTTATAAACGTTTAGAAAGATTTTGAAATTCGAAAACAGAAAAATGTCAAAAACTCCAACAGATCTTGAAAATCCCAAGAAACTTAAATCGAATGGCACCTTCTCTAATATAAATTCAAGTTTGAGGAAGGTGAATAAGCAGTTGTCCAGCGTCGTGAATGGAAGAAACAAGTTCGCACCTCGCAAGAAAGAGTCACAAGTCAACATACGCCCCTCGAAATGCCTGGAAGATGGCTATTAACGTTCAATAGACTCGCCCATCTAGTCAATGGCCATTTCTTTTCTCTCCTTCTCTTTCTGTCTCTCTCGAACGACGCTAGTGGGAAAGCGGAAACAGCTAATCAGTTCTGACTCATCATCGTTTGTACGACACAATTTTTTTCATCTTTTTACTGTAATCATCTTCTGACATGTCTGCGCTCAAGTCAAAAGTCTCGATTAATTTCTTGCCGAAAGATACTCTGATACTTAAGGACGATCAGTTCTACTCTAATGTCGAGAAGCTGACGTCTTCTGATGACTTTCGAATACTCAAATGTCAATTTATCAACTCGATCAACAGTTTTCTTCATTGTAAGAATATATTGATACCTATTCTTCTACCTACATCGACCTTAACCACTTTTTTGTTTAGTCCACACCATCCATAATTTTTCTGGGCATAGTGATGGCTGAGAAAACTCAAGAGTAGACGATTAATGGCTGGTAAAACTTCTAGTAAAAATGTACGCATGAGAAATACGAGGGTTTCAGTATTCTGAGACGCTTTTTATATACACATTGAGCAATTTACTAGACAAATACCTTGAAAAATGCCACTCTTGTAAATGGGATAGGGCGACTGATTTCATCAAATGAAGGTGTCTCGCGGTTATAGAGCATTGTTTTAGAAGAGGACATACGACATTCGGATGATAGATAATGAAAAAAAAAGTTAAAAATTCCAAAAAATCTTCTTTAGATTTTGAAATCTGTAAAATCCCAAATCCGCTGTTTCCCCCTTAGACTAGGGTGTGGGTGTGGTAAGAGACATAAACACACACCTACACTCACATCCAAAAAAAAAATCTTTTTTTTATTATCAATTATATGGAAACAAACTATACTTATTAAATTAGTTTCTTCGTCTAACAAAAAAAGCAAGCGTTCTTTTAAAATATATACTTTCTTATATTTGAAAAAAGTTTTATTAGCAATAAGAGTTTTAAATATTTGTTTTTTTGTATCAGAAGAAAAATAAGAAAATTAAATAAATGTTTCAGTATTTTCACGTAGTTCCACAATTCGACGTAAAATAAGTAAGGCTGGACCTAAATTTATTTTCATAATATTCAATAATATATCCATGTCTAACATAAGCATCGATTCACCATTGATTTGATGTTTAACAAAAATTTCAGCAATTATACTATTGGTTAAACGCACAATAAATTCTTTAACTTGTAAAGTTGTCCATTGTTTTGGATCACATCGTAAAGCTTCAGTTTCTTTTTCTTGTACATTTGAAGTATGTATTTTATCTGAATTATTACTAGTATAATTAATTGAAAATGCTGGACGACTTGTATATTCAACACAATCATTTTTATTATTAATAATCATATTATTATTTGATGTTTCATTGAAAGATTTGATTGAAGAACAATTTGGTAGTACAATGTTAGGTATTGTCATTGCGGTTGACATGACACATGATGGTCGAGGAGTACTTGTTGGTGGGTATGATGATGAAGAAATTTGTGATATTATTTTTTCGTTTTGAGTTGTATTATTTGATAAAGAATTATGCCGATGAAAACTTTCATGTGTTGATGATGGAATATGTTGATTTGAATAATTGAACGACGAACAATCATTTTTATGTGAATGTGAATTACTTAATAATGGCATTGTTGTTGTTTGTTCAGGTATTGATACGAGTTTTGTTTCATGTGGCATCATTGATTCTGTTCTTATTCGTTTATACATAAATGAATCGTGTTCACATGATCTGATGAAATAAAGAAATAAAAACAAATCAATTTTAGATAAAAAAAAACAAATCTTTAATTTTACCTTGATCGTTGACATTTCTCTTTTGATAGACTTGAGCTAATATAATGAAAAAAAATTAAACTAAGAGAAAATAGATAATATGTATGTATTTTTTTACTTGTTTAATCGTGAATGATGATGATGATTGTTTGTTTGAATTATTTTTGAAGAAGAAAGATGATCATCTTTATCTTCTGTTGCTGATTCATCTAAACCGTTTCAAATAAATAGATTTATTTTTATTTTTGAATTTTTTTTATAACTAACCAGATGTACCATCTTCCGATGAATCAGTATCATTTGGAATTGGTGATGTACTTCTGTCATATGGTTGTATAGTACATCCATGTCGAATTGATGTTGGATTGATTGCTGTAGGCAATTGTATATTATTTGTTGATTGCTGTGTTCTCATTATTGCTGTAATATTGATTAAAGTATACAAAAAGCAAGAAATTTTTTTTTGTTTTTGATAAAAAAAAAAATTTACTTCGTTTTATATGAAATAGTGAACTTGTCTGAACAGTACTAGATGGTCGTGGAAAATATTTATGTCGCTAATGAAACAATTATTTTATTATATAACATAAGAGAAGGGTCTTTTTAATTTTACTTGTTGTGTCAAAAAAGAAGTTATTGAAGTTGGTTGTCGAAAAGTATTTATCAATGAAGAATTAGATACTAAAAAAGAAACAATGAAAGATATTATTTCTCTTTTTCATTTCAAAATAGTTACATCTGAAAGAATCTTCATTTGTTTCAAATGAAATCATAATTGGTTGATTACCGATTGAAACACCATGTAAAAGCGTTGCTTGAAGAATATGACCAACTTGATTTCGAAATATGGGACGTTTTCGTACATCACTAGGTATTTTAACAAGCTGAAAGAAAATAGTTTTTACTTACATCAAATTGTTGAAAAATATCGCTTACTTGAACTTGATTGCCATCGGCAACTAAATATACAATAAATTGTTGAGATTGATTAATTGTATATGGATTGACAGATTGATGATCTGAATAATGAAGTGAATAGGTCATTTGTTTTCTTATTGATTAAATGACTTACTTGTTGATAGAGGATACGATTGAAATGATGCTAGACAAGGAAAAAAAGGGATATGAATGTGTTTTCTTTTTCATTTCTATGACCTACTCATTTGATTGCCTAATCCAACAGATTTTTATGCTTGTGATAAGATAGTTAATGGTTTATTGACAGATAATCGAGCAAGTAATCTACTTTGCTTAGCTACTGTTCGACTTGTTTGTATCAGTGTTGAACTTCGAACGAGGATTTGTAATAGAAATCTAAAATAAAATATTTTTCTGCATTCTCTTTATCGAAGCAAAGTGCTCGTAGTAGTACAGTTTATTTGTTGGGTGAGAAATAAAAACAAAGGATGAATACATCAGAATCAACAAAATTTTTAGTACATTTTGCTGTTCGTTAATACATCTGTTATATAAAATTCTGATAACGATCAGCAATTTTCGACATCATCTTCGAAATTGCAATAATCGTTCAAGGATAATCAACTTCATATAATAAGATGAAATTTATGCATTCTATAAAAAAAACGCTTTTGCTTAATAACTTTATTTTTGGATTTAAAATGTATTTACTAGAAAATACATTAATCTATTTGATTGTTGCTTTATATTCTTTCATTGATAGATATCCGAAATGATCGCAAGAGAATGCATCCAACAGTTAGATCACACAAGATCAAATCGAATTTCTGTCGGATCTTCATGAGATAAAAATAGAATTTATAAAACTTAGTTGAATCCTATAGAAATACTAATGAAAATCAGGCGACGAAATGACATTCAGATCTCTAATGTTGAATATATGCTACAATCCTATTGTTGAAAACTTATGCTATTTAGTTTAGTACTCATTCACTGAATAATAATTAAATTAGTGCTCAATGTTAAATATTAATTAAGTCGACGCCGATGGTAAGTAGTCTCAAAGCTTTGAATTTACAAGTGCAACTTACTTATTCGAATCCTTTGTTGTGTAAGTTAGTCTTGATTTGTTTTTCTATGAATGACTGTGTGAATGAGCTGATATCCTGTATATATATGCCAAGAGCTAGAGAGAGAACTGCTCATCGACATACATTTCATCCGCGGACGTCTATCTCCTACGCCTACATGTCTTGTTGATTGTGGACATTATTTCTTAATTGGATAAAAAATATGTAGACAAAGCAGAATAGGGTAAGGGAGACTAAAACGATCACATTATGGAAACAAGCAAACATTCGTATAGTCAGATAATCAAGCCAGGTTGTTTGATATAAGAGAGAATATTACTGCCCTCGAGTTACATTAATGTTAGACGAAACGTGTCGTCCAGATCATTTTTTAACATATGCTCTGAACGAAACTATTTTAAGTGTAATATACACTGTAAAAGTCATGGAAAAATCTTGTTTTTCTACTACTCATCCAATAAAGCTTCTTGTTCTTGGAAGCAGTAACTTCTGAACGATAAATTTTGTACGAATCAAAAACTTTATCAATACTAACATCATTAAATTGTTTTAGATCTATTCTTGACTCTTTGAATAATGAAATTTTTATACAATAGACTTTTTTTGTTGTGAGAAGATCTTTCAGGGCTAGGAAAATACAAACCATTATCAGCAAAAACAATTTTTATACACAAAAACCAAGAAAAAATTCAACTTTGACTACATCGTTGGAAACAGCATTGTTTAGTTTACAAAAAGTCAGTGCTCTAAATAGTTTTTTTTCATTCACGTTAAAAAAAACAGTAAAAATAAAAAATGATGTTGTTAGACGATGAAGTTGCATAGCTGATTTTAACTAAAGAGCTTCATTTGTATTGACGGCAGCGATCAAATAGAACCAAAGTGTATTTATAGATATATACATTGACATATATAAACTAAGAAGAATTTTATGTGGACATGAATATAGAACATTCATTCGTTCAACTGACGCATTTATCTGACATAATGTTTATGATTATTCTGAAAAAATTCGATATTGTTGATATAATTTATTCATTAATAGGTGTCAATACATGATTTTTATCAAATTGTACATGATCCTATTTTTACTACTAAAATAACATTAATGAACCCAGGTCGAGCATTACTGTGCCCGTAAACGGCCGTATACAGTCGTTTACGATGACGTGAACGGCCGTATCCGTCGAAATTACGACCGTATACGGGCCGTAAATAACCCGTTTGGTATGCGCCGTATTACGGTCGTGTGAGACCGTGTCGTATACGGCGACAAACGACAATCGTTTACATCAAAATCTTTGCCGTAACACGGCCGTATTTTGACGAAGACGACAGTTTACAAGGACGTAAACGATCGTAAATCAATGTANCAACAGTAATATCATTTTGTTGTATGGCTATGGAAATGGATCATTTGGCAATGAAGAATCATATCCATTGGGACATAATTATGATTCTAACACGATTGTTCTTCATGATCTGAATCAAGATGGATGGGTTGACATTGTCGTAGGGTGTTCTAATACAAACGATGTAGAGATTTTTATGAAAACACCAATTTCGCTTGTGTCACAATTAGCAATCGCAAAATCAGATCGATTGTCGTTATTGAAATCAGCTATAGCTAACCATATTGGTCCAGATCCAACACCAGTTGAATATGGTCTTCCTCCATTATATATTCCACTTTTGTATCCAAAATATATATTAACATTATTAGTTCCATAGTTTACTAAAATAATGTCTAGTTTACTGTCATTGTTCATATCTCCGACAGTAACATATATCGGCAAAGAACCGGTTATGTCTTGCACGGTATACCTACTCGAAAAAGTTCCATTCCTGTAGTTATAAAATATCGCCAGGCTATTCGAGTTCTCATTGGTAACAATGATATCGGGATCACTGTTGTTATCAAAAGCAATTACTGCAGCTGAATATGAAACTGCACTCTGTTCATTTGCATAAGCTGCTTGGTTTCGAAAACTGCCATTTCCATAGCCAAGAAAGATTCCGATAGTGCTGGCTTTACGATTAACAGCAATAATGTCAGTGTGATTGTCTCTATTCAAATCATAAGTGATGAGCATGACTGGAAACGAATTGTATCCAGTGGAATAAGCCATAATCGTGGCAAAACTGCCATTACCATATCCAAGAAAAACACCTACGCTATCACTACCAGAATTAGCTACAGCGATATCTAGCCGATTATCTCTGTTGAAATCAGCCATCACAATTGACAATGGCTGAGAATTATTCCCAGCTGAAAAATACATCATACTAGCAAAACTTCCATTACCATATCCGATAAGAATGATTACATTGTTAGTACCATAGTCAGCTATGGCAATATCAATTTTACCATCGTTGTTCAGATCGCCTACATCAAGTCCACCAGGAGATGCGTTAGTTCCTAGTTGATAAGTCATGATAGTACTAAAGCTTCCATTTCCATACCCTAGAAGTATACCAATACTACCACTGGCCATAAAAGGAGCGGCTAAATCTAAACAATTGTCATTATTGAAATCAGCAGTGACAACTATCACAGGTCCTAGATCGATTGCAGTTTTATACATATCTGGACTGTTAAATGTTGAATAATTATATCCATTGAGTGTTGCTATACTGTCGGTGCCTTCATTAACAATAAACAGATCGGATCGATTATCATTGTTAAAATCACTAACAATAATTGCAGATGGATTTGAACCACTGTTAACAGGAAATGTGATCTGTTGTTGATTGAAACTCCCATTACCACATCCCATAATCATACTAATACTAGTATGATATGAATCTATAATAATTATATCTTGATAATTATCATTATTTACATCACCAACAGTAACATATTCTGGATGAGAACGAAAGCCTGTCGAATATATTGTTTGAGACTGAAATGTACCATTATAGAAATCAAAACCGATACGTAAATTATCAGTTCCTGAATTAGCAATAACGATATTTGATTGATTATCATTATTGAAGTCAGTTATAGCTATAGAATATGGCATTGGTGCTGAACCAGTGGAATAGAATGCTTGATTTTTAAAGTTGGCAGCAGTATATGGCGTTAACATTCCTATTGAACCTTTGCTATAAAGAACAACAATGATTTCTAATTGTTTATCGTTGTTTAAATTGGCAAGGACAATATCACATGGCCCTGAATTATATCCAGTAGTATATCTTCTTGCTAGTTGAAAGCTTCCATTGCCATATCCAAAATAAATAACTACTTCGCTAGAAGTGAAAAGGGTAGCAACAATATCCAAATGATTATCGTGGTTGTAGTCAGCAACAACCAGTTTGTATGGTTGGGAGTGAATTCCAGTTGAATACATCGCCGTTACACTAAAACTTCCGTCTCCATGTCCAAGGAAAATACCTATATCGCTAGCACCATTATTAGCAACCACAATATCTAGATAACTATCATCATTTAAATCAACAAGAGTAATGGATCTAGGACCTGAGTTGTATCCTGTTGAAAAAATCATTAATCTAAACACCCCATAGCCATCTCCATAGAGTATAGACAAGCTGCAGGCAAAATAATTAGTGATAGCAATGTCAAGATAACCATCATTATTGACGTCACCAAGAGCCAGTGAACTAGGATCGTTACCAATACCAACAGAATACATAACAGCGATAGCAAAATTGCCATCACCATATCCAAGAAGAACGCTAACACTACTGGTATGTGAGTTTGCAGATATGATATCTAGATTTGTATCATTGTTGACGTCACCAACTGCTACAGATGCTGGACTAGAATGGATACCAGTAGAATAGGTTGTTACATTTCTGAAGATTTGATTGGCATCGCCAAGAATAACACCTACACTATCGGAACCCATATTGGCAGTGATAATATCTAGTTGATTATCATTATTCACATCACAAATACAAAATTCATTTGGCTGCGATTGATAACCGGCTGAAAATATTTTCTTCCGAGCAAAAGTTCCATTACTAGTACCAGCTAGCAAGAGCAAAGAGTCATATGCAATACCATTAACCACTATATCTAGATAACCGTCGTTATCAAAATCAGCAGTGGCTATACACGTGAGTCTACTATCTATGTTAACTATATAGGTAGTTTGTCTTGTAAGCAGTTCAGTGAAGTATCCACTCATTACAAGTACATTATTAGTGCCATAATTAGACACAGCGATGTCTGATTGATTATCTTTATTAAAGTCAGCTATGACAATTGAAAATGAATGAGAATTTGGCATCTCATCATATGTTGCTAATATAAAAAAAGTGCCATTACCGGATCCGAGAATTATTTGTATCTGATCATTATTTGACGTAACAATAGCAATATCTAGTTCCTGGTCCCCATTAAAATCCCCAACAGCAACATATTGTGGATAAGAATTGGAACCAAGAGAATATATTGTTTGTTTTGCAAATGTTCCATTACCGAAACCAAAGAAAATACCTAGATTTCCAGTGCCGTTGTTCGCAACAACAATATCTAAATGATTGTCATTATTAAAATCACCAACTGCAACAGATGTTGGATTTGAATTCATATTAGTTGAGTAAGTCATTTGACTTTCAAAATCTCCATTACCACGTCCGAGAAAAATGCCAATATTATTAGTACCGTAATTCGCCACAACAATATCTAGGTTGTTATCATTGTTAAAATCGTTAACATCGATGGAATATGGAACGGAATCATAACCAGTGAAAAATCTTTTCTCTGTTTGAAAAGATCCATCACCACGGCCGAGATAGACACCAATGGAATTAGTACCATGATTAGCAATCACAATATCCGATCTATTGTCATTATTAAAATCTCCAGTCTTAATAAAAAACGGATGAGAAGAACCAGTTGAAAATGGAGTTTGAGTAGAAATCGTTCCATTACCATATCCAAAAAACATTCCTACATTGTTTGTTCTATAATTGGCCACAGCAATATCAATAAAGCTATCACTATTGAAATCATTAGTAACAACTGAATAAGGAGACGATTGAGAACCGGCTGTATGAATGTTTTGATCCATGAATGTTCCATTATCACGTGAAAGAAATATATCAATAGTATTCGAACCAGAATTGGCCACAACAATATCAATCAAATTGTCATTATTGAAATCTCCAACTGCAATAGATCGTGGTTGAGAACTGGAGACCAATGAACTTTTCCCCATTCGTTTAAATACCAGTCGACATGTTAGATCTATAAGAAATCATTGAGATAGATATCAATTTTTTCTGCCTTTTACGCTTTTCCTTAAATAAATTTTCATATTCAAACGCTTTAAATAATAATCGTTTAGAATTTCGAATATTTTCAATCTATTATAAGTATCTAAATAATCCAACATATTTTATTCAAGTATGTGTTTGAGAGTTTATCTTTGCTTTTTTATATATCGGTTAGTATCGGAATGAGATTGGTCTTTTAATTCGAGAACTTTCAACTTTTACATACGATGAAATAATGTTTAAATTTTTGAACAAAAGTTATAGTGGTACCCTTTCATCTTAATTGTTTGAAAAATTTTTTCCGAACTTTATTTTCGTCTTTTATAGATAATAAATAGAACGCTCATATTTACTTGGTTTAGGTACTGTAAAACAAACCGTTAGTATCCCAGACATTGTTAACAAACTTGTGAATAAAGCGAATTTGAAAATTCTTGTCTGTTTCCGGTGTCTATACAACCAATAACAAATTTTGTTCCGCCTGGAAATAAAATCTTTAAGTAGTGGTTCGATATTATCAGAAAATCTACATACCGAATCGTGAGAACTATCAACGATAATGTCATTCCAAGTTGCCTATCAACGAAATGTCTATTGAAATATATAAAAGTTGTATAAGAATAATTGGTTTGTACAACAACATATTTGTTAAAGAATCAATTTACGTTTTTTTTTATTGATATTTATGATTAGAAAGAAAAATATTTTTTCAGTCAAGATGTAAAAACTGAAATAGTTTTTATCGAAAATTTATTACAGTCGTTTTCCTCTTTATTGAAGTTTTATTGCTCGTTCTAGATGATACTATCTCTAAAGCAATCATTTGTAAATTACAGATGATGAATAATTTTAATAGTACATTGATTCTACATTCTGATGAATATTAACAACAAAATATCATAATGTGGTAGGTGAAAGCAGCAAACTCATATCGTTTCAATATTTACCTAAAATAATCGATTATGTTTCAGAGATAGTGTGTATATATTTTCCTGATCTAGTTGAATGATCTAACTGTACTCTCCGATGTTTTGTTGGTTTTATTTCTATTTGGTCTTACAATCAAGTTTAAGAATTTTTCCTAGATACTGAAAACATGATTTGGAAAAAAATCCAAATCAAGATCTACATGTCAGAAATGTCATACGATCGAAGCTTATTCAAAACTTTCGAAGAGTGATTCGAAAAACGAGATGGGTGGCTGATGCTGTTTTAACTAAACAACACAAATAGACTACCTCTCGAATATAGAAATGAGTAAAAATTTAGAAATACAATAATCGGAGATTCATGCGTATTTCTACAATTTTATGGTTAATAAAATTAAAAAAAAAGGAATTCAATATAAATGCAAAATAATTATAACCATAAATCTGATTTCGAAAAACAATCTTGAATAAAATTTTCCTATTAAACCGAAATGTATATAAATCCGAAGCACTAAAAAACTGTTTATTTTTGTTTGCGTCGAAGTGAAGTAGAATATCAAAGAGAAGTGCTTACTATCGTATTTTTATATGACTATACTTACTCTCTCCTAATAAGACTGAGACAAAATGAGTGTTTTTATATATGCTCGTTTACCCATGATGTGACTCACCTATCATTGAAAGGACGTAACTTCCAACCTCTCCATTTTATGTAAAAAAAAATACCACGACTGTGCTATACCATTTTTGTGTTCTATCACTGTTTAATATTGATCCTCTCTATCATATTCATTTTCAAACATAGCATGGATGATAGTCAAATATAATGATATAGCAATGAGTGTTTGCTTTCACAAAATAGTTGTTTGTTTTTCATAAGAAAAATATAATCTGAGCGTTTCTAAAATTTTACTTCATGAATTCACAGTATAATCTATGAGAAAAATATTTATTGTTTGTTCCAGATTTCGATGATATAAACATGCTTTTTAATGCTGTATGTCTAGAAAGATTCTAAAATGTACATAATTTCTATTGATTTTTCTTTCTGTTTCATCCAAGATACTATTCATTGTGCTGTTTCGTTTTAAAAATTTTCTCTTAAATATAATAATACTCGGAAGTGCTTACATAACAATATAAAGAGAAATTAAAGTGTTTAAACATTGATCAACAATATAAGCGAAATGAGTTTCATTTTCACCACCTATATTTTTCTACGGAGTATAAACTTAGTTGGTATAGTTGTTAAGAAAGTAAACAAAGAAATAGAAAAAAATAGAGAAAAATAATAAATCGAAGAAACGATGAAACAAAAAAGGAGGATGCGCGTGTGCTTTTCCAGGTGAGAAAAAAAGGAAACAGATTAAAAAGGAGTGTGTATAGGTTTTGCAAGTACTATTCTTTGTGAGCCATGAATTTATTTCAATAAATGATATCTATTTTAAGCAATTTATGCTTTTTCATTATTTGTTTTACTCAATTACTCTGAAGAAATCGATCAAGAATATCCTTCTTTCTTTTATGAAAACTGTTCCAAATAGAACGATCATTACAGAAGAATATATGACCAAAATCTATTGTGTACATACTTTTCAGTCTTACAGGATAGTGTTTTCGGTACAGTTCTAATGAATCTTATTTAATCATAGCGTACAGATTATGTGCTGACACAAATAAACAGCAATGTTTCATTTGAATAGCAACACGAAATTCTACTATAGCGAATGTTGATTTACGCTGTTCTACATACGCTTTTGACTTTCTTATTAGCGTGTGAAGCAACTACTCTACTGTTCTTGGTCTCTTGAAGACTTTTATACTTTCATCTTGTAAATATCTTATCATCGACGCCTATTTTATTGAGATATGAGTCTTATATTTCATTATTACACCTTTACTGCGAAATACGACAGATAGTTTTATGCCAGATTTCTCATCATTAGGTAACGAAAGTTGTTTAATGACTTCCGTGTAGTCTACAATAGTTGAAGCCATCGTATCAAGAAGCAACGAACGAAGATTCATCTAATTAAAAAGAATGAAGTACAAATGAAACATGCACTCGAAGTCTTAACTTTCCTCTTCACCCCCACTGCACTTTTATATAGGTTCAGTGGCGTTTTTCAAGTTGAAAAAGATGAAGTGGCGTCAGTTAGTATTATCTGTATTGTTTTTTAATCGAATTTTCCTGCGTAGATGAAAGCGTCTACCTTGCGCACGTACATCAATTACTTGTTTATTCTTTGTGGACGAAACTTGCGATGCATAAAAATTTCATTGTGCAATTTTTCTTCAGTAAATAACTTTTAAGCTACTCTGCAGAATATGTCGCA